CTTTTTAAAATAGCCCGATAACCCATTTTAATTATTTTTTGTGAAAATAAAAAATGTTTTTAATGTTAAAAATATTTAATCGCTCTTAATTGGTCTAGATTTTTTTCTGATTAAAGCTGAAATTATTTTTTAAAGGGGAGATTTAATTGACATTGATAATTTTTAAATTATAAACTCTTATTTGTGATATTATGAAATAGGAAGCAAATAATTTAGATGATTAAACCATTAAAACAGAGGCTATCGCAATTGTTTCACTTTGTATTGCATTCTTTTAGGGGTCTAGAGATTTGTTTGCCTCGATCGTTATACATGTGAATAAAATTATTAGGACATTTTGATTTTTGTCTCAAACAATTTACAATTGATAAATATAAATAAAACAATATTTTAATAAGTGTTGTATATTTTTAGGTCAATAAATTTGGATATTGGGGAGTTACTTTTCATAATATATTTTTCATTCATTTTCAATGGATAGAACAAAGTTCTAATATATTTTGTCACACAATATAGCTAAGAAATTTTCATTTAAAAAACATACTTTTAGAAAATTTCAAAATAAGTCAACATTTGAAAAGTATATTTTTAGGAAATTTCAAAATAAGTCAAAATATGTTATTATTTCTTGTCGTGTTAAATAAATAAGTTGTGCATATTTTTAGGATGTTAAAGATTATCGTTATCGTAAAATATACTTAAATTTGGGTTTCAACAGAAATTGTAAAGTGTTTACTTTTTTGGCACACATACTAAGAATTTTTTTCAAAGCATATTTTTAGGAACCTGAAAATATGACTAATTTTTTTAATAATTAATTTTTAAATAATATATACAAGGTGGACTAAAAATGCAACAAAGTCAAACGCCATAATTTTTACTTTTTTTTTTAATTTTATTGAATGAAAGCAAAAAATGTCGGAAATGTCATCAAATTTTAGAATAAGTTTAGATTTGTTCGAATTGGTTACCTTTGGCACGAATTATGGTCAATGAAACCGTCACACGCTGCCCGAATGTAGCTCTGCGGTATTTTGACCGATTTCCGGCGAAGCGCTTGTAGTGATCGCCACTTTGGTATTTTTTAGTGCCAACCTTGCATTCCAAAATACTCCAGACACAATAGTTCAACGGTATGGTATCCGGAGATTTTGGTGGCCATTGTGCGCTGGAAATGAAGCGAAGAACCTCATTTTGTAACCATTTTTGGGTGGCGCGAGCTGAGTGCGATGGTGCTGAGTCCTGGTGAAATGTCCAAAGTCTTCGGCCAAAATGTTTGCGTGTCCAAGGCTTTAATACACCCTCCAGAATATTTTCGCGATAATATTCGGCATTAATTCTGATGCCACGGTCGATTTATACGAACGGTAAGCGACAATCGGCTGTTATGGCGGCCCACACCATCACCATGGCCGGCGCTTGAGTTCTGGTGGCCAACCGAAGGTTCACATTTTCATCTGACCTCTTTGGCAAGTAAACACGATCATTCTGCTTGTTTACAAATTGCTGGACAGCGAATGTTTTCTCATCGGAGAAAACCAAATTCGGCAGTTCACCACTTTCGACCAAGCGAAGGAACTCTACTTTAAGACTATTTTCTTTCTGTTGCGGTGTAAGTTCTTGCACTTTTTGGAATTTCAATGGCTTTATCCCGAACTCATTTTTTAATATTTGCCGAATGGAATATTGCGATATGTTCAGCTCACGAGCCATTTTTCGGCCACTGCGACGCTGGTTCCAATCAAGTCGCTTCTTTACTTTTCGAATCATTTCTGCTGATGTTGCTGTTTTCTTGCGTCCACTTCCTAGACGTTGGGCTACGCTACCAGTATCTTGGTAACGAGCGATGGTACGAGACGCAAAAGATTTATTCACATTTAAATGCTGGAATGCTCTAACGGTAGCCACTTGTGGTTCTCTAGCCAAATATAAAGAAATCACACTATCACGCTTGAATTCCATCACGAATAACTTTTTTCTGGAAAATTCTCACCAAAATGCTTTTGTACGCTTGTAAACAATGTAATGAGCTGTCACTGGAATAATTTTAACAGCTGTTGGACGGGTGGCTTAGAAATGACAGCAGTCTGAATTTGGTTGCAGTTTTTTAATCTCATCCTGTATTTCTTAACAAAAAATTCATAGATTTCATGCTAACTATCAAATATTAACAAGTAAAATAGTATCAGTCGGTTTTGCCGACAGATGTATACCCTCAGCCTTGAGTTACGAACGTGACAGATTTGGACTATATCGACTACTTCTTGTACTTTATATGAGGTATGTGCACCTTTTCGGAAAATGGAAATATGCCTCAGGTAACAGATACAGCGGACCGAAGTATTCCATTTTCACACTTCATCTAATACAGATAAAATACATCATCCTAGTTTGAATAGAATCGGATGATAATTTTGCGTTTTATGAACTTCATGGATACTCATAATTTTGACCTTTTGTGGGGGAGGTACCAGAAGGAGTGGACCGATATATCCCATCTTCACACCAGATCTTGAGTTAGTAGAAATAATGGGACGTGTGTAATATGAAGAGAACTGGATGTTTATTTCGGATTCTTTGGAATGGAATCGTGTTCAAGTGTTTTAAGAGCGTGATGAATATTCAAAATTTCGACCTTTTGTGGGGGGTACTTGATGGAGTGGACCTATGTTATCCATTTTTGCACCTGACCTAGAACTGATGTAAATATCAGGATTTGCAAAGTTGGAACAAAATCGGATTATCGATTCTCTTTCTGTGCAGAAAATATTTTTTTTTTATATATTTTATTTTTTTGAAAATCTTGATCATTTGTGTGGGAGGTACCAGAAGGAGTGGACCGATATATTCCATCTTAACACCAGACCTTGGGTTAATATAAATATTAAGATGTGTGAAATTTGAAGACAATCGGACTCTTACATCACATATTATGAGAGTTGTAATTATTCAAAATTTTGACCATTTGTGGGGGAGGTACTTGATGGAGTGGACCGATATTGTCCATTTTCACACTTGACCTAACACTTACGCAAATATTGAGATTTGCAAAGTTGGGGCAAAATCGGTTTATCGCTTCTCTTTCTGTGCAAAAAATAAATTTTTTGAAAATTTCGACCTTTTGTGTGGGAGGTACCAGAAGGAGTGGACCGATATTGTCCATTTTTACACTTGACCTAGCACTTACGCAAATATTGAGATTTGCAAAGTTTGAGCAAAATCGGATTATCGTTTTTCTTTCTGTGCAAAAAATATATATTTGTTAAAATTTCGACCATTTGTGGGGGAGGTACCAGAAGGAATGGACCGATATATTCCATCTTAACACCAGACCTTGGGCTAATATAAATATTGGCATGTGTGAAATTTGAAGACAATCGGACTCTTACATCACATATTATGAGAGTTGTAATTATTCAAAATTTTGACCATTTGTGGGGGAGGTACTTGATGGAGTGGACCGATATTGTCCATTTTCACACTTGACCTAACACTGACGCAAATATTGAGATTTGCAAAGTTGGGGCCAAATCGGTTTATCGCTTCTCTTTCTGTGCAAAAAATAAATTTTTTGCAAATTTCGACCTTTTGTGGGGGAGGTACCAGAAGGAGTGGACCGATATTGCCCATCTCCGAACTCGATCTAAGTTTGACAAAAATATTACGATGTATCAAGTTTGGACCAAATCGGATACTCCCTTCAAGAGTTATCGTGCGCACCAGCCAGACAGACAGACGGACGGACGGACGGACATCGGTAGATCGACTCCAAATGTTCTGAAACGGATTTGGTCCAAAGAGACCTAGGGTCTAAAACCGTTATTTCGACTAGGCACGTTTTGACCGTATCTGTAGCCATATGGCTGAGGGTATAAAAAATGTTGCATATATTTAGGCAAAATGCTTTGAATTGATTTTTCACCAAAAAAAAAATCTGAATAAAAATTGATTTAAAACTTCATATCCTCTCTACACGAGTCTCTCTTCCTCCCAATGATTTTTTTATTTACCCATAAAATTGTAAAATGATGCATATTTTATGGATTTTTATTTCACGAATCAATTAAATTTTAAAAGATTTTGTTATAAACATTTCTAGTATTAACCTCTCATATTATTAATTCTTAATTCCTGTTGAAATAAACCATTAAAAATTCCAAACCAAACATTGAGACCTACTTTTAGGCGCTTTTGTTAATATGCTACAGATTTCTTCTGAACCATATTTAATTTATTAATAGTTCTAGGACTCCTCAAAGAGTGGAGCAATTTCTCACGTTGCTCCACTCTTTGAGGAGTCCCCGCTATTATTAACAAATACCAAAAACAAGAGTTGATGCATACTTTTAGGCGATTTTAATAAAATTCCTTAGATTTTTTCAGAACAATTGCAGCAATCATAGATAAAGTATTATTGCATATTTCTTGATTAAAAGAGTACTAAATACAAACGTGTACATAAAATGAAATATTGTTGCATACTATTAGGATAGGATACATTTTTTTATATACTTATATATTCAAGTAATATTTATAAATTCTTGGCAAAATTGATTTATATTTTATACATTTTATTTGCCTCCTATACGCACAATATGTATTTAGCTCTAAAAATTTGCACTTATATTTATTTTTATTTAAATATTCATGTAATTTCTTTTCTTAGCAACATGATTGATTTCCTTTCAACATTTCCGTTGCAAATTAAAAAAAAAATTATATCTCTAAATGAAAAAAACCCACAGTAATGAATCAATTTTCTGTCAGCAAGCACAAGCAAATTGCAAAACCTAAACCAACAAACTGGAAAAAACTGAAACCCATTTATCAATGGCCAAAAAGTAATACTAAAAAATCCAATTATTTTTTTTTTATCTACCAAGGCAAAGTACGAAAATAGCACTGGCTATCATAATTTATTTTCCAACTTGCATTGCAATTCAATCACCAAACTAAGATTTTCATTTTCTATTTTCTTCGTCTTCTTCTTCTTCTTGCAGTCTCAACAAATGCGTGCCGTTTCCAGTCCATCTCTCACCGATATGGGAGATCATTGCCAAAGAGTACCATCGAGCAGTTCATCGTATACGAATAATGCCACCACCCAAACAGCTAGTCAAGAAGATTGTTGTCGGGCGAATACGACAAATAATGTTGCAACATCCGCGCCGGTGGTGGCCACCCAGAATGTTGGAGTTTTACAGAAATTCAAACGTACATTAACCAACTTCAATAAGCATCAACATCAGCAGCAGCAGCAGTCCAATCAAGAGGCAACACACGGCGGAACTTCAGCGGCAGCGTCATCTTCCTCCCAAGTCCCAAGTGGCGGCGACAACAATTGTTGCAATACAACAACAGCAACAATGACAACAACAACATCTGCCAGTGGCACATTTCTAATGCCCGATACTGAAATGTCAACGGATGTCACCGATTCGACGAGTAATAAATACAGATTTGGTCCTTTGGTATGGCGTTCGTCGAAGGAGCGACGCAAGACGAAATATAATCGCCGTGATAAATGTAACAGCGGTGATTCTGGCATACAAATTGAACTGGAAAATGATGAGCAATTTGCCCGAGCCTTAGCGGCCAATGGTGGCAGTGGCGGCTGTTTGATGATGAATGGTTCACTGAATACGAGTAATGGCGTTACATTAATGTCAAATGGACGTAAATCAGAGGGATTGGTAAGTTTTCACATAAAATATGTTGCATACTTTTCGCATATGATTTAGTAGTGGATAATTGTTGCAGCCTAAAAGTAGGCAATGGTGAGTGATAAGAAATTTTTCGTAAAATTTGTGGTGTACTCTTTGAGGGCCATAAAACTAAAACAATATGTAAGAGGTGAAGTACCTGTGTATCCCTAAAGTATGCAATAACTTTGAAAACTATAAAACTATAAGAAAACTATAAGAGTTCTCCCCGATTTTCTTTCACAAAATTTTCTGTGCCTTACTCCAAAGATAGAAGACTTACGGTGGCTCTAACCTTTTACATATTCTCAAGATGAATGCAAATGAATTTAAGAAAGAAAAAATAGCTACAAAAACGTTGCATGCTTTAGGGCGCTTTTTTTCGAATTTAATTTTTTAAGAAATTTTTATCTCAATATTTTTTTTTTGTCTATTCGAGAAACAGTTTAAAATTTCTGGGAGTTTTTTAGTCGGAAACTCATAAATCGCTGTAATTAGTATTTCCAGTAGAGGATTATGGCACGGTGTATTCATTAACTTTTTGAGATTTTTTTTTAACAGAAACCCAAAAAAGTTAATTGAAAATCGTTGCATACTTATAGGCACTTGCGAGGGATGTGGAAAAAGAATTTTATGTAAATTTTGTATTTGTTTTAGAGAACAAATTCTATCAAATTTTTTAAATATTTTACTAAAAATCTAAAAAAAACTTAAAAAAATGCTGCATAATTTTAAGCACTAGTAAGGGATAGAAAGGTGTTTTGCTATTTGAGCATTTTTTTAGAAATACTATTTTAAAAAATAACCGTTGCATACTTATTGGTGTTTATGCCAGAAGGAGGTTTAACGATAGAAAAATATAGGATTCAGATAATTTTTGTACTTTTTGTATTTCTAGTTGGATACTCTTTATTAACAATTCAAAAGCACATTTGTCTTACAGCATTTTTTCCAAACTTTAAAAAAATTAAAAATATTGTTGCATACGTTTAGGTACTGGTTAGGGAATGGGGAGACTAAGGATTATTTTTAAATTCAAGTGATTTTCTCTCTCTTAAATAGAATTTTAAAATGTTGCCTAATTTTAGGCAAAGTGGTAGAGAGAGAGGAAAAAAAATGTTCTAATCCAAATAATAATGAATAACAAAATACCTCTCAAATTTTTGTTGTGGTTTGATCTAGATAATTTAGAAATGTTTCCAGATTTATTTAAAAATTGTTTTTTTAACTAAACATTTGTTAGAAAATAGTTATCAGTGACATTTGAATTATCATAATTATTATAATTATAATTATTATTATTTAAATACATTAAAAATTAATATAAATTGTTTCGTTTTCGTTTTAGAATTCCCTCCGATTTCGACAAGTACGCCGCACAAATTCCGCCAAAGTAACTTCAATGACCGATCAAAGTGTATCCGAGGTTCTGAACAAAGCCAAAATGCTAAAACGCATGGACATCAATGGTGAACGGGAGGCACCCGAATCGTTGCCCACCAGGTCGTTGAGTCAACCCAATGGCCTAGAGTCATGTGGCATGACACGTAATGATTTAGATGACAGCGACAGTGATAGTGTTACCTCACACGAAGAAGGTAAGCAAAAACCCCGTTAAAGGTTAAAGTTCAAAAAATAATCACATTTTTCTCTCTTTCTCTCTCCCCCACTTTAGCCCCCTCCTGCTACTATCCCATCTACGCTGAAGTTCTGTACAATTTCACCGCTGCCGGACCGCAAGAGTTGGGCTTGGAAAAGGGTACCTTAATTGAGATTTTGCGCAAAGAAATCGGCCCCTGGTGGTTTGGACGCATTAAAAAAGAGGATGCCAGTTTAGTGGAGGAAATTCTCGATCCGGAATTGGGCTGGTTTCCCAAAGAGTTTGTACGCGTTATACACTCACCGGAAACAGATGCATTCTTCTTGCGTCATCTAGCCGACGAGGAACAACGGCACAAAGACCAGCACATTAACCACATGCAAATTAATGAACATTCATCGTCCACCATAGTGCAGCAGACTACCACCACATCATCCTCGATAGTGGCGGCAACATCTGGGGGCGTTGATAATCAAATGTTGTTGAATACATCATCGAGTGCTCCGTGTACACCCGTTAATACCAGTTCAGAGGATAATTGTAATACCACAATTATCGATAAGCACAATGTCACAACCATTGTTATTGAAACATCATCGCCGCCATCCACAGCATTGTTGTTGGAGCAGCAAAGCAGCGAAAGGACAATGGATCAGGATGAACAGCAGCAGCAGCAACGTGATGCAACATCAACCACAACCACCACCCTAACAGCCAATGGCCAAACGGTGTTATCAACCTCACAAAGCCTTAATGTCATAATGGGTAGTACTGAAATATTACGTCGTAGTGCTGTCAAGGAATTATTGGATACCGAAGTTAATTATGTTAAGCTGCTGCAAGCTATCTGCGAGGGGTAAGTTGAAATACTGTTTTGCTTAAAGGTGGGCTTTTGAAAAGACATCTGTATGGGAGAAATGAAAATGATTGGGACAACTTCAAATTTTCTTACATTCTTCAATATTTACCTGAAATGCTCAGTATTTGCTGTTGTGAATTCGACTTTTGTGTTTTATTCAAATAGACAACGATGTTCCCAAAGTAGGCTGTTTTCGGGAACACATTTTGGAGACCTACGATTTTTCAAATAATAAACTTAGAAAAGGCTACTTAAAATTACAACTTTTTAAAGAATTCGGGATTAATTACTCCTATGAATTTATGTTGCTATCATTGCAATACACATTGTTTTAAATACCCATCAACATCTCGAGCACAGGTCTTGTGTCTTTGATTCATTCAGATTTTTAAGAGTATATTCGAACAATTTTAAACCCAACTGTAATTAGATTAGTATTCAGGGCTCTGCGCTCCTCCCGACCAAAATTGTTGATACCGAAATTGTTAGTTCATTAAGTTATAGGTAGGATTAAACAGTTATTATAGACTGTAGAAAACGTTATGTGTTTAAGATCCATTCGAATGTCTGTGTTTGATGGATGGAGTGGTTCTGACGTCAAAAAAGTTGCCTTTTTCGATTTTACACAAAAACTGTTGCATACCTTTGGGAGCATATACTACATGCTCTGCATCAGCATTACGTAAGTTTCATTAATTTTTATCAATAGCAAAATTTTTATATTTGTGTAGTTTTTATTTTGTAGCTTTTTTTTAATTTTAAATTTTGTTGCATATTTCTAGGATATCTATGCTATTTGCTCTTTAACTTGATTCTACTTCCTCGAAGGGAAAATATTTGATGTTTACTGTTGATGGATGACAAAGATCAATTAATCTGAATTCAAAAATTAAATTCGGCAATTTTTCAAAACAAAAAACCTGTTGCCTACTATTTGTAGCAATTCCTGCATATTATGAATCAACATTTCGTAATTTTTGTTAATTTTTATCAATTGGCGAAATTTGCATATTTAAATTGAACTATAATCTTATGTGTTTAGAGCATTTAAAATATGTTGCATACTAGGATGCTTATGATATCAGCATCATTTCTTATAGGGAAATATCGAATATGTATGATGGTGTTTATTTTTAGTTGGTTGAAAAGGTCAGTTTACGTGAAGTCAAAAAAAGGCTTTACAATTTTTTGAAAACTGTAGCACACTTTTGGGATCACATTCTTCAAAGTTTCTTAATTTTCGTTAGGGGTTTCCTTTTACTATAAGTTGGAATGGGTTTTTAACATTTTCATTCGGTTTGCAAAATATATTTGCCATGGGTCCACTTTTTGGTTAGTCCTCGTATACAGCTCTTGATTTTCGAAATGTTGCAGATTTTGGTCTCAATTTTTAAACAAAATCAGCTGTATCTTGATATTTGAGGTTCTCATTGGGTAGTTTACCCCCTCACAGTACATATTCATTTTAGCTCCACTTTTTGATATAGCCCCCATATAACGTTATCTGCTCATTTTTGATATGTTAAATTGTCGTCCCCAATTTGAGTAGCTTTGAGATTCACTATAGGTCCACTTGTTGACTCTTGCTAAAATATTTTAAATGTAGGTCCCCTTTTGGACCTGCCCATTTTCGGTATTTTGAAAGTTCAAGTCCTCATTTCTTACCAGGTGGTTCATTTGGTCCACTTTTTGGAATAGTCCCCATATAATTATACCTCCGGTATTTCGGTATTTGGAAGGTTTTGGTCCCACTTACCCACCGGATCAGCCAAATCTGGTTTCTCGGTTTTTAAATTGGTAGTTTAAATATTCCTATAAATTTTTCAATGTAGGTCGACTTTCTTCGGTATTTTGAAAGTTTGAGTCCTCATTTTCAAGCAACTGAACTGTTATTTGATATTTCGGATCCTCATTGGGTGTCTTATCTCCTCGCAAAAAAAAATATGTAGGTCCCTTTCTTGGTATAGGTCCAATATTGGCCCCCATATAACGGTACTTTCAAAATTTTAAGAACTTTTACTTATAACCAATTTGGATAGGTCATAAGTTACATAAGTTTCATATGGTGTAGGGTAAAAAAACTAGGCCCAGTTAATAATTTCATATATATTTATTTTTTCCATGTTTTCTAATTTTTTTTCTTTTATTATTTGCAGTTATCTGCCCGCCATGAGCAAACGCATTGATATCTTCTCACCAAACAGCATACGCTTGATTTTCTCCAACATAACAGCTATATATAAGTTTCAAAGGCGATTTTTGGAGGCCTTGCGCAAGGGTATTGAACAAAATCAAGTTGGCAAGATATTTTTGAAAATGGTAAGTCTTAAATTTTTTTTTAATATTTTATAACAAAAACCTAACAAGTTATCTTATTTTAATTACAGCACAAAGGATTTTTATGTTATTCAACATATTGCAACTCATATCCCAGGGCCTTGATTGAATTGGAATCGTATGAAAGGGTTAAGGATGCTCGCACCATATTAGATAAGTAAGTCAAAAGAAAACAACTGCAAATTGAACAAATTGTTAAAATATATTTTTCTTTTCGTTTTTTTAGTTGTCGCGAATCAGAAAACCTGGCCGAATTACCCTTATCCGCCCACTTGTTGGCCCCGGTGCAACGTATCTGCCGCTATCCCCTGCATTTGGCTGAAATAATGAAAACATCCGCCAAAGGTTCAGAACCCACACCATTTAGCCTACAGGAATTCGAACAAATCGATGTTAGCCAATTGGATATACCCGATACCACAGAGACCATTGACATGGCCCTGGAGGCAATGAAATCCATAACCGAAGCTGTGAACGAAGGCAAACGCCACAGTGAAACCATTGCCCGTCATCAGGCGAGTTTTCAAAATTTCAAAGGTCCTCCCTTGCATTTGCACAGCACCCGATTCTTTGTACAAATCGATGCAACACGCCAAAAACAAAATCTCTGGAACAGTAGCTGTACATTGTTTCTGTTCGACAATCAGCTGGTCTACTGTAAAAGGGATATTATTAAACGTTCCAATTTCATTTACAAGGGACGTATTTTCCTCGATCGTTGTCGTGTGGTCAATGTAAGGGATGGTAAAATGTTCGGCCACACCATTAAAAATTCGTTGCGCATTTATTGTGAATCCAGGGGGAAATGGTTTGATTTCAGCTTCCGTTCGGCCAATCGTAAACATAGATTTTTAAATACCCTGGCTTTGGAAAGACAATTCAGTGGCAAGTCTTTATACATTTCGGAAATGATGAATTTCGATTATGCCTTTGAGGAAAGAGATTGTTCCGATGATCAATCCGACTATGAGGGAGCCGAAAATGAACAACAAAAACTCAAAGAGTTTCTTTATGAGGCTAACTTGAATAATGGCAACAACACCAATACATCGGGCGAAAGTTCAGTACCCGAATCACCGGCCAAATCTTTTAAATACAGTGATACCTTACCCAAAAAGTCTTCACATCGTTTGGAGTCGACAGCAAATAATGAAACACAGACGGGATCGCTGGGTAGGCGGCGTCTTGGCAATTGGTTTCGCAAACCCAAAAGTACCGCCTCAACACCAAATCAATCGCCTACCCACAAATCTCATCCCCCAGCGGCACATTCCACCGGTGATTTACAGCTGAGCGGCACCAGTGATATCAATGAATCGTATACAGTTCTCGAACATGCAGACAATGGAGGTGTGAGTTCTTAAAGGAAAGAGTGGAAAATTCGCAAAAGTATAAGGAGAGGAATAAAAAAAAAACAATAACCTTAAAAATCCCTGAATCTCAAGACTATAAATTTAAAAAGAAGAATATGTTTTCTTTTAAGTTTAATATTTTTCGAACAAAATATTTTATGAAAAAATAACACTCGAAATTGTTAAGTTTTAATTTTTATTTGCTAATGATAGAACAATGAAATGGAAAACGAAATGGGTGGGAAATATGAAAATAGTTGGTTGAATTTGATTTCCCACAACCCACTTTTTAATTTTATTTTTTTGTATAAATCCCATTAAATTTTTTGAAATAAAAATTTTAAAATATATATTTTTAAAAATATATATATTTACACTGTTTTTAAATTTACATTTTGTTTAAAGAAAAATCAACAGTCATTATAAAACACCCTTGTAAAAATGATAAAAAAAATTTAACAATGTTTATTTTGAATTGTATTGTATTTAAGCTGTATAGTTGTATATTTATTACGTTTTTTTATTCGTTTTTAAGTAATAGTCGTAAAACAAACTAATTTATTATTTTAATGTTAAATTTTAATTATGTAGTTATAGAAAAAAAGAAAAACCCTACAAACAAACAAAGCAGCAAACAAACCCAGAAGACGTTATAGTATTAAGTATTCTTTTTTTTTAGTACTATATTATTTTTTTAATATATATTTTTACAAAAGTTTTTTTTTCTTTAAGTTTCCTTTTTTTTAATATTAATTGTTACTAAACAAGAATTTTGAAAAAAAAAATAAAAACCAAAAAATTGAAAATAAAAACAATGTTTTAATTGAGCCCCATAAAAGTATTGAAGTGAAATAGAAAAACCAATAAATGTTAACACATTGAAAACAGTAAGCAATTTTTTGTAAATATTAAAAAAATGAGTTATTATTCGATTTCCAAAAAATTTATTTTTGTGAAAAAATAATAATAGACAAGACATTAACAAATAAATATAAAAAGTTATAAATATTTAACTTTCACTGTAGCATTTCAAATGGAGTACAGTATGGACTTGATTTTAAAAAAGGTATTAAAAAAGTTATTCCAACGTAATATTTTTACTTTGGAATAAAAATGTTAACTAAGTAAGTTAGTGTTGTTTGGAAATATTGTAAGAATTCATTGCTCTTAAATTAAAATTTTCTTTTTTTAATGAGAACCAATATTAACAATATTTTTATTTTAAAACAAGATTGTTACATATGGTAATTTTCATCGATTGAAAATATTTGTTACATTTTTTATATTTGGAAAATGTTTGTTTTCAATTAAAACAAATGTTTTCCATTAAAAAAACGAAAATTTAAGAATTTTTTAATTTTTTGCTGAAATTAAAAATATTCTTAATATATTAATTCTCATTTTACTAAATTTCTTTATAATCCGTGCCTTTCCAAATTTTTATTTTTTTTTTTTTTGTTTTTGTTTGTTTTTCAATTAGAGTTCATAAATAATTGTTTAAAGGATTATACTGAAATTTGATGAAAAATGGATGGTATCGAAAATATCTATGTATCCACTTTTTTTTTGAAAATGTAAATGAAACAGCTTTTTAATTGTTAATTTTTTGTTGAAATTAAATGTTTTTTTTTTTTTTTAATTTAAATACTTTAAAATTTATCTCCACTGAATTCGATAAAAATTGATTTTTATTTTTAATTCTTTAAAAAAAAAAAAAACATACTCAATTTTGTATCAGGTTTTTTCGTAGCCCTTGAAGCTCCTACCCTATTTTTCAAGGGAAATAGGAGCTAAAATTTGTTGTTTTGCATTAATGTTGAATACAAGATAATTTTGTTGTATTAGCTATTGATTATTATTACAGAACCTATCACTCATACTTACTTTCTCCACTTTTTAGGCGGCCTCAAAGTATAAAACAATTTTGAAAAAAATTTTTCCCATCAAATTTAAATCTGTTTAAATGTGTGGAGAGAGTTTATTTGATCTGACCAATATTGCCTTACTTAGTCCAAGCCTATTTTAACTTCCAGCATTATATTTGCTCAATTATTGTGTTTACGGAATGAGCTAAGAAGGCTGTTCTTGGTCGAGTAAAGTTGTAATATTTCCAGACCCTACATTTGATTGTAGCTATTCTTCTTCCATTGTTAAAAAACACCCTGGTTTAGCATTTTTCTTTCATTTCAAAATAAAATGCTATGAACTTCAAATTTATTTTTAAATATCAAGTTTTTTTTGAATTTTTGAAAAAAAAATGCAGTTTAGATTTTTTTCAAATAAAATTGATCTCTTATTAGAACACCCGGAAAAAAACTAAGAAACCTATTGAAACAATCAAGTTCATACTGTAATTATTAAGTAAATTCCAACCTAGCCCCCAAGAAAAGTCTGGATTTAAAAAATAACATTAAAATAATAACTACCAAAATAATAAAAATAGTTAAACTGTTTTAAAAGAGATTACAACATAAGAAAATGTTAAGTATACTTACTCTTATATACATATACATGCATATACATATTATAATAAAAAAAACAAATGATACCAACATATGTATTTTCAAAAAAAGAATATACCAACAGAAATATACACAGTAACATTTACATATATAAATTTTGTTTTATTTTTTCTTTATATATTATTTTTTCTTTTTTGCAAATTGTTTTAAATTTGGTAGAGAGAAGAAAATAAAACATATATATTTAGATAGACTTTATCTAGTAACCGATAGACAGACAGACACATGGCAAACTACCCACAGCAAATAATGATATTGTTATAGTAATAAATTAAATATACTAAAACCAAACCAAATTTACACAAAACAAAATAATAATAATTATTCATATTGCATATTGAACAACATGTTGATATTATATATAAACAAACAAAATTATAAAAACACATCTATTGCATCCATCGAATCGAATGGGCTTCAAGGGAAAATTTGGCACAAAGCGTTTAATATTAAAGGGAGCGTTTTTGTTAAATACGTTTGAAAAAAACTTATCATAATTTTGAAATCTGAGCAAGGAGTGGCCGTTACGTTATCGATCCATATTGATAAGATTTTTATTATTATTTTTTATGAAAAGGACTTGGGCAACATTTCGTTTCAATAGAACGGCACTACATGCAAAAAAGCTAAAGATATACTCGATTAAAAAAAAAAAAGTAAAAAAACATTAAGTTCAGCCGGGCCGAACTTTTAATACCCTCCACCTTTGGGTAAAGAAAATATTTTTATATAAAATTATCTGAATTCAAACGTGTTCCACTTTAAACCACAAATACCAGTAAGACCGTGTGGATATTGCTGTTTAACTTAAAAAAAACGTAGAATGGGTGAGGCCGCTGTATGGGGGCCATATCAAGACTGAAAGCACTATAGACATTGTATACTTCAAGGATTCCCACCAAATCTTCTTAAATACGAAATTTGAAACCATTTCGTAGGATTATAAAAATCCCGAATATCGGTGGGTATCGTTATAATGCGGTATAGGAAAACAGACACCGGGCTAGAACCCATTTTGAACTACAAATACCAATTTTTAAAACTAATCCTTAGAAAATTGAGGATAACATCATCAAAATACCGAATATTGGGAGATACTGTTATATGGGGGCTATACGAAATGCGCCAGTGGAACTAGAACCCATTATGACCCACTTTTTAGACAAATCCGTTGAAAATTATTGTAAAAATCATCAAAATACCGAATATCGAGAGGTGGCGTTACATGGGGAGCTATACTATGTTCCACCAACGGAGCTAGAAACCATTACGAACTACAAATAGCAATTTTTAAACAAATCCGTGGAAAAATGTTGCAAAAATCATCAAAATACCGAATATCGGGAGGTACCGTTATATGGGGGCTATACAGAAACCGATATATCTCTTCTTCAATATTAACCTTCCTAGACACCATACAAATTGTTCCGCCAAATTTTGAAACTCTACGTCAAATAATGTGGGCTGTATCGTGATTTCAACAGTCAGACAGACAGACAGACGGACATCGTTAAATCTGCTCAGAATTTAATGCTGATTATGAATATATATACTTTATGGGGTCTACGACGAATATTTAGGGATGTTACAAACGGAATAACAAAGTTAATTTATCCTGCTTTTCAAGGTGGAGGTTTTGGTCCCTGTTTCAATCGTAATATTTATTGCATTTGCTGACGGCTTTATTGGATAGAGGATGTATTTTTTGGTATATTTATATTGAGAAACGCCTATCGTCAAATTTCTGATCTTTATTTCACAGTTTTTATTTCAAATATTCGAAATATTCGAATCACATTTAAAGACCTATCATTTTTGGCGATTTGAAAAAAAAATTGTCAAAAATCGATCTACCCAATCAATAGATGGCGCTAAATTCATGTCTTTGCCAGTGTTGGTAAGTGGTTGTTTTTTGTGTACCCCACTAAAGGTTCGTAACTTAGATGTAATAGCAAGCCAAGACACACAGCTCATTTGTTCATGCAGCACAGCCACGTGACAGCGCAGTTTGTTTGTTCCACAATAGATGGCAGGCTGAGATTGTTTTTGTGAACATACAAGAGAAATACAATAGTTTTAAATATTATTAATATTGGTTTATGAAATATGTACAGAAAAATAAAAAAATCTTTGTGGAGCATTCCTTATAGTATATTTTGTAAATCTGATTCTGCCTTTCTCTAAAATTGCGGACTTTCAATAAGTAAATTATTTTGGCGTGCCTTCTGTAGACTCTCCTTCCTTATTTTAACTGTTTCAACAAAAATGTCATAGAAACCATATTTTGAAAACAAATCGTATTTTAGTAGGGTAAAGATATTTGGATTTTTGTTGTTGGAATTTTCTCTAAGTTAAATTTAATGAAAACGGTTCCAGTGGTTAATAAGGTCAACTATTTGGACAGAGCTTTGAAGTTTTGCATAGACATTTTATACCCTACCCTACAAGGTGGTCAGGGTATTGTCTTTGTGCATTTGTTTGTAACAGGCAAATGGAAACGAGATAGACCCATAGTTCCTTTTGATGATCTGCATAGAATCACATTCTTAGTCGATTTATGCATGTCCGTCCGTCTGTCCATGTATTTTTGTGAACCAAGTACAGTTCGCATTTATTACACGATCCAGATGAAATTTTGCACAAATCATTTGTTTGGCACAATGAAGAACCCTATTGAAATTGGAGATAATCGGTAAAAATTTAGATATAGCTCCCATATATATCTTCGTCCGATTTGCCTTTTATTGTGCACCAAACGTGTAATATCAGACCGAATA